CTGCAGGTGCATAGTTAGCAGCATTCCTCTGCCTTCCATTTCATAAACTGAATGACGACATTCTCTAAATTGCTTCAAAATTATTTAAACACTCAGTATAGTTCTCTAATAACTCTATTACATATTCAGGGAAAGACTCAACTTGGCTCAAAAAGGTCCTCTAATATTTCACTGGTTGCTAGAGTTTTGCTCTTTATGAGTTCCCTCCAAATCATTGCTCATATTTACTTTTGCAATGCAGGTTTCCATCTCATTTCGCTGTATTGCATAATGTCCTCAGCCTACAAAAGCAGGTTGTATACAAAAGCCTAGGGCCTTTGTGTAAAGGAAAAGAGGTAGGGTGGACCCTCCTCAACCCTTTCCTTCTCTGCAGGGCTTTGCATTCCTAAGGATGGGCCCCTCCTCTGCTTGGGGATGTTACCTAAATTATGAAATATTACTCAAAGCAATGGAACTTCAAAAGCATTTCCTTCCCAGTCCCTACCATAAGATTTCTTTTGGCATAAGCTGCTGATTTTAATGTAGTAAGTATCAGATTCTTGGTGACTTCTCATTTCTGTCATAAACTACAGAAAACCCGATTTTTTAAATAGGTCTATTATGATAAAATCTGCATGGGGGAGTGGAGGTATCAACAACCTGCCTTCTCACCTCTCTCTCTTCCTCTAATCATGCCTGGCTTGCCAATTTTATATGGCAGAGATATCTGGGTGTCCCCTGGTCACTGATTTATCTGACATCTTCCACTAGCTGAAGTCATCTTGTCACTGTAAACACTTGATTTTCCAGTGATAATTACATCATCTTTTTCTCTTTTGTAGCACTTCTGGTGAGGGTGGCAAAAGGAATCCATAGCACAGCCAAATTAAAACAAGGAGAAGAACTTAAGGATCGTAGATTTTCCAGAATATGATATAAATTACCACCTTTAGAACAGTCATTTAATTTTATTCACATTGAGTCTAGAACCTTTACTTTCCTCAATTCGAAATTGAGATTATAATCCAAAAAACTGGATTGAGGTTTTTAAAAGATTAATATCAGTGCCCCAAGTAGTGTTTACCATGCTTTATTTCATTCAATCTTCATACAACTCCACATTCTAAGGAGTATTAGAAAAATGAAATGGCTACTCACATAAAGTGGGGCTAGGGAAACTTACTTTTTACTTCATACACTCCTAAACCATTTGAATATTTTTACATCACTATGTCATTTGGAATACAAAATTCCATTTCCTACTAGGCTAAGTATAAACTTGTCACCTTTCCCTTCCAGGTATTTGACAAACATGGCCTTGATCTCTTTTTCCATTTTAATCCACTACTTCTCTATGAATACTGTTGTCTTATACTCTTAGCAAACTATCCCATGAAACTCTCTTAACCAACCTAACAGAAAACACACTAGGCTAGGCTATTTTCCATTGTCATAGAAGCAACACTTCTGCTCTCCCTCTCAGTGAAGTTATGTGCTAATAAAGGGTGTTAGTTGTGTCTGTTCACAAACCAACTTAAGCTAGTCGTGCTTATTATCATAAATATATAATTAATAAGGTATTATGTATAGCAATTTAGTATAAATGAGAAGAGCGAGACAACGCTAATATTGTGTACTTACTAACTGCATGTACTACAGGCACTGTTCTAAGTGCTATGAATTAACTCATATAATCTTCACAAGGAACCAGATACTATTATTGTTCCTATTTTATAAAAGAGGAAACTGAGCAACTTGCCTTAGGCCCAAAGAACTAATACGTGGCAAAATAATTTGGCTCCAGAGCTTAAGAATTTAACTACTACGCTATAGACTTTCTTGTAGTTGTTCCTTTGAAAACCAAGTTGAAAGCTTTGGAGAGACTAGATAAAGGCGATACACATAACTACTCAACTCTTCTTTGTATGTGAAAGTAGCCACAGATAATATGTAAACAAATAAGCGTGGCTGTGTTCCAATAAAACTTTATTTACAGAAACAGACAGTAGGTTAGGACGTGACTTGGCCCTCACACTGTAGTTTTCAGGTCCCTGAGACCCACACTCTAAGAAGAGACTGTGTTAAAAGAATGGCAAAAAGATGTTTATATTTTAGGTTAAAATAAAATGTTTAAGGTCTGCATGTAATTAATATCTGTATGAATCCCTGCTTTAACTTACTTTTCATTAACCAATGACTGGCCCTACTTGTATTAGATAAGAGGGCAACTTTTATCTTGTAGGATATTTGTGCCTTCTTTCCTGCCTTTGTGTTTTTGCCAAAGCCACCCCTTCAATCTGGGAAGGCTTACTTGCTCACTTCCACTTAGAATCCCACTCGTCTCCAAAGCCCATATCTAACCCTACTCCCTCCTCCAAACTGGATATGATCACTTCTTTCCTTGAAATCTTACAATAATTAATTTCTACATATGGGATTTGCTTTGATATATCTTCTGTTATGGCTATTTGTATAATTCAATTATCCCCACTACGCAACTATTAATATTAAGTAATTTGAAGACAAGCACAACGACTAACTCATCTTCCTATCTTAGGCAACATCCTGCACAGTACCTTACACATAGCAAATTTTCAGATAATAGTTCTTGAATTGTGTTCTACCATTCTTTAGTTCAGTCACTAAACACTATATTGCATTCATCAGTACAGATTAGTATGGGTGTACCTGTATATTAAAGTTGTCATTTCTATAGCAAAATTGCTGATTTTGAAAGGAATTGTTAAAACTGCTGCTTCCCGATTAATTTTCAGGGGGTCAATACATTTTATAAACACATCTAAAAGCTGTCTAATTAAGCAAAACAAACAAACAAAAACGCTTACTTCAACCCGAGATCAGGGTTGTGCCTTACTTAACTGTGTATCCCCAGCAGTACTTAATAGATAGATGTCTGGATCTAATCCACTCCTTTTACAGAGTTTAGGGGACCTGGCCCAAGCTCAGAGTAAGTTGAAGGGCTTGGGACAGGAATTCAGGTTTCCTGATTTCTAGTCTCATAGTCTAATTCAGGAAGACAGTGGCTTTTTAAGTGCGCTCAATCCTGCAGTTTAAAGGCTGAGGAAGCCTCACCACTATCATCCACTTCCTTATACTGCCAATCAGAACCAACAACTGTGTTCCCACAATGTGATCTGGGCAGGCATATTTGTGGTGTTCCAATCACCAAAAAGTCTAATCCAGATTTTAGGATTTCTGCCTATCCGAAAAGGTTACTAAATAAAAACACCCCCACTCAAGAATGCAGATTAATACTCAAATGATCTTTCAATATTTTTTAAAAGCACTATTCAGATGTTTCAGAGACCAGTCCTGGGGAGAGGGGTTAAAAAGAGCTATATAACTTATGTAGTTCATTCTTTTATTTCCTTAAAAGTAGCCAAATTCATATTCTAAACAGAGCTACTGCAAAGGGTTCCTGTTCTAGTGCTTAGATTCCAGTTGCATCATTGCTTTAACACTGTCAACCTTCACTGCTTTAACCATCTTAATCTGTAAAATAAACACGGGAAGCATACAATAGCTCTATCCTTCCTTTTTACAGAAGAATTCTTTACCAACAAAAATTAGAGTTATATATAATATTTCTAGCTATCTTATTTCCCTCTTTCCCCTCCCTCAGAGCTTTAAACAATACTCAAATCATCTTCAATTAATAAAAGAGATTAAGCAACCCAGACAGTTCACAGCTAGTATGGCATTTTTATCTTTTTGGAAGCTACCTATAAAAGGCAAGAGCCATTACTGGGCTCTCTGGGTTGCACGGGAAAAAAATCCCAAGGGAGTAAATTAAGGACTAAGAAAACAGGGATGAATTCCATTACTCAATCTAACAAAAAAAATAATAAGAATCCATTATGAGAAAGACGGCATTGTGCCCTGTGACACAGGAGACATCAAGATGAATAAAACAGTCCCTGTCTTTGAGGAGCTTACAATTTAGAAGTACACAAACTACAATAAAAAGCATAAGTGAAGTGCCAAGAGGTTCGAAGTTCTCTGAGAGGAGGTACCCATCACTCAACTTCAATTTTATGCTAAAAGATTAAAACATTCAGGAAAGGGATACCTGTTGTACTAACCTGATTGAAAGAAGCCCAGAGTGAAAGAACTCCAGTGAGATCTATGGAAATTGATGCTACAGTGGGACATTACCTGCTTATCCACACTTTGGCTAAGCCAAGAGTACCTGAAGATTGTTCCAAGAATTATAACAGGTTAACCAAAGACATATAAGATACAGAGGGAGGAACCCGGAGGCAAAGAAGTCGGCCACAACTGATATTGACTTAGGTGTATGGCAGGGAGACTAAGCAAAACCCAGGCCAAGGTCGGGGCTAGGGATTTACAGCTTCTAAAGTTTCCTCCTTTCCATCACCCACCCCCAGAATATCCCAGCTCTCTTGCATCTAACCCGCATTGCCGGACTCCAGAGAGGGGACTTCTCTCAACATGTATGTCAGTCGCAATAACCACTCCGTATGCGCACACAGTGCTTACCGGGTTCATGTTCACCCATCAGCTCACTAAATTCTGAATCAAGAGACCAGGGTTCCAGGCCCAGTCTGCCCTTTACTGTGTGACCTCGGCCTAGTCAATCAAGTGCTTGGTTGCTTCTTTCTCTATTTGTAAATTCTGGGATTATGAGAATGGGATTGTATTCGAAGACCTCCTAGGTCTAAAAGCTTCTTGACCAATTGGCACACAGAAGCACTGGACAAATAGACCGTTTAATGAATATCGACATAGGCTACAGGGGTCTAGCGGCAGGGGCGTCAAGCCCGTTTTACAGACGGGGATACTGAGGTACCCAACATCCTGCCTCAAGGTCACTCCAGCTATGTCACTGTAGGGGCCGTGCCGAAAGCTCAGGTCTCCAGACTGCCAATCCCGGGCCCTTTCTCCTTTTGCCGAGCTGAGAAGAGTTGCGTGGAGGGTCCTTGTCCCGGAGGGAAAAGGACTGTGCTCGCGCCAGGGTTGAGGGAGGGAGGAGGCCTTACCTTCCCAGACCGAGACCCGCAACCGGTGTCTCCCTTTCAGAAGCTTAACCCGTCACCTCTTCAAGACACTTCTGAAGCCCCCTCCACTTCTGCCCGGCTCGACGTGTCCACGACCGTCACCGAGGCCGCCGATTCCCGCCCCTGCCCCGCCCCCTGCCTCGTTAGCCAATCCCTGCGCAGGACTTCGGAGCTCCCGCGGATTTCACCTCCTCTGCAGGCTGGAGAAGCCTTACGTCATGCGGCGCGCGTGCCCCGAGGCCCTCCCATTTGCCTTTGCCCCACCTCCTCCAGAGTGCAGTGTCTCCTCTTAGCCCAGCAACCGTGCGAGAGTTCGTCCTGCCGGAAAGCAGCACGCTGTCGCGGCATTTCACGACGTTGGCGGCAAAAGGCCTTGGAAACGCTCCGACTTCCTCCCAGCAGCGGGGCGAAAGCCAGCGCGATGTTCGGTGCGGGCGACGAAGACGACACAGACTTCCTCTCGCCTAGTGGCGGGTGAGTGACTGAGAAGCGTGGGACAGAGGGCGTGGCTGAGGAAGCCGCACAAACGGTTGGAGGGGTTGCTCTCTTATCAGACCTCTTCCCAACTTCCGGGTCCACACCTTTTGCCGCATTCCAGTGCTCTGCAGCTCAGAACACAGGCAGAGCTCTAAACTGTGCTGTGTCCACTTGCATTCTGGACCTGGCATCTCCCTTGGCAGGCAGCATGACCCAGGAGTTCGCTTTTTTTTGCTTTATGGGTCACGATTTCTCCTGTGAAATGCAGATGGTTGCTGATGAGACTGCGTTCCTTTTCAGAGTTTTTATGGGGCTTTTTCTTCTCCGTGGACAAGGGGGTGACACTTAAGAATGGGCCTTGGTGTGTGAGTTCCAGCTCAGATATTACCTTTTTGGCGCTTTCTGTTCTCCCACAGCCCTAGGCAGAAGGAATTGCTTTCTGTTCCTTATTCTCATAGAGACGTGTTTACCTCTATCCTTGCACACGGAACCTACTAGATTATGAGCCCTAAGAGGACAGGGACCTCTTATCTCTGCCTAGCTAGGCAGAGACGAGCTTATTTCTGCTCATCTCTGCCTAGCGCTCAGAAAGTACCTGGCACTTGGTGAGTGCTCAGAAAGTGCCTGTTGAATGAATAAAGCTGTGCAGTTGCACTCTAAATCTTAAAACCAATCTAAGAGACTGCAGTCGCTATCTCCTACTCTCCCCAGTCGTATATACTACCTTGGGGGTCCAAGTCTTCAATTAATCAGTTTAGCCATTTCCCTTGTGTCAATAGACAGCATGACTCCCCTCAAACTTGTGAGCTGCCAAGTTCTGATCCTTGCAGAGCCTTTCTTTGAACATCTGTTAATTAAGGAATGTATTGAAGAATGATAAATACACCAACATATATCCCTCGTTCTACTAAATCCTAAGAGGTTGTAAAGATGATTAAGCTGCCGTGCTTGCTCTCCAGTTGCTTTCAGTCCTGGTGGAGATTTCAATACATGAATGGCCATAAAATGACACTGGCTCTCTTTTGCTCTTAAATAGGATCTTTTGAGTTAGTGTGACAAGCTATGTGTTACCTATTCTTAAGCCCTCTTTTCACACTCACCACCTGTTCTGTCCCTACACCCACTTAAGATGACCTCTGTCCACTTATTTCCACGTTGAGTTTTTTTCAGTTGCTCAGTTATTTTAGAGATAAGCTGTGCTTTGATTCCTTTTTGCCCTATTCCACCCAAAACATTCACTTAAATTTCCACACAATCCAGCCTACTGCTGTTGACTGTGTAGTAAGCCCTTTGAATTAATGTTTCTTCATACCAACCTGTTTGTATATGGCTGTGCCTTGTGAAAATTCACAAGATATACTTTAAATTCACATTCTTCACTAGGTGAAAGTATTTTGGGAAGTCTACAAATGAATGTTAGGGCTCCCAACTTTCATGCAACAAGCAATCTAGTACTGACTGAAAATTACAGGGTAAGTAATGACAGTCATGTGCTTTTTTCCAGATTCCTGGCCTGAGATAAGTTTTTGGTGGCTCAGCTATGCTGCTTTCCTGAGCAGGCTCATCAAGGACTTGAAATGCTTTAGTTCTAGTCATGTGACTGTGCTCTTAAACATAGACAACAGTCAATTGAATGATAAAAGGCTTGGTAAACAAGTTATACAGATAACTTATTTTTTGTTCCCAGTAATAACCAGAAAAACCAAATCAAATTTAAGCTTGAGAATATAGAAAGTTTCACCATTATTCTCTGATTCAGCTATTCCTTCTTTGGTTTCTCTAAGGAAGTAGAACATATGACAGTAAGCACTGCAGCTGTTTTCACTTCCTCCTTTTATAACTAATTTACTATAAATACACTTATTAATTTTTAAGGATCTAGACTTAAATATATGAGTGACTTGATTCCATTTAGGATATTCAAGCCAAATAGAAAAGAGAGTATTAGTGCCTATGATGGCTGTTTAGATGATTGATAATCTGTGTTCCAAGTTTCCAGGCCTCTTAAAGTCCATGATTAACCTAGAAGTAGTAATCAGGTTTGATTTTTTTTTTTTTTTGTCTTAGTCCTTTCCTCACCAATGTGACTTGGAAATGAAATATGTGAATGCCTACTAAGTATATGATACTTGGCTTTAGCTACTACATATAGAGATAAGGCACAGTTTCTGCACCTAAGGAACTTCCAGTTTAGTAGTAGAATAAAAATCAATCCAGTATTAATAATCACAATGCACTTTTAAGGGGCCAGTTATATATATATACACTTATGTTTTAGATTATGTAAAAGGTATATGAAAGCAAATCTGATTAGCATAGTAATGATAAATCACTGGTACAGAGGTAGAAAATGATCATCTGGAATTGATCATCAGCACTTTTAAATTCCATAAAAGATACATTAAAGCCTAGGTTATAATGTTGGTTCTGCTCCTAGTTAGGAGTGCTCCTAGTTAGGACTTGGGACAAGTCACTTCTTATCATTGGCTCTCCATACTATTAAACAATAGAGTTTGTCCTAGATGATCTTTGAGACCTTTCTCGGATCTGTATTTTTGCTAATATCAGTTTATAGTTGCAGGAGGAGGAGGAAGAGGAGGAGATGGAGGAGATAGGATATGTGCACGTGAATATAAATCATATATGGTGTACTTACTCAGTGCCAGGCACTGTATTAAATAATATATATAGTTCTCTCTACTCCTCCATGAGGTAGTTTTTACCATTATACTCATTTTACAAATGGGAAATTAAGGCTCAGAGAGGTAAAAGTAAAAGAGCCTGGATTTGAAATCAGGCAAGCAGATAACCACCAGTCTGCCCATGTGCCATTATTATTATTTTAGAAGTAAATGATTGTTGCCACAGTTCATAAAAGAAGTACTTTAACAAAAAAAGGAACCCGTTTGTTAAAACATATTGATGTAGCACATATGCATCTGTTACTATTTATGATGAGAAAAGAAAAGGAGTTTAAAACTAAGGTTGGATGAAGACTTTGGCAACTAAGTTCATTGGCTAACATTTATTTTTAAGATGTAATTAATGCTGTAATGACTTTCCCCATGAATTATAAACATAGAGACTCAAGTCCAGAGTTAGCAAACCCATACTTGCTAACATAGTTATGGAGAACACTTTAGAAGTGGAAAATATAATAATTTATAAGCTTATATATAGAGTTCATTTTAAAATATTAATAGAAAATAGAATTAATGAAAGATAATTGGGGTGGCCTGGCATTTGGATTGATTTTACAGTCATTAATTGGCTGGCCTTTAGAGCATCTGTGGAAATATTGTTCACCTATGATACTTCTGTTTTTCCCTTGGGGAAAAAATGCAAATTAAAACAGCAAATCCAATACCCATAGTTTACCGAAAGTAACAAGGACAGTGCATAAGCTATTATTATAGCTTAACTAGTATCTAAACTTTGTAAATTTTTTACTATGTTAAAGGTACTGCCCAACTTTCTCAGAATCTTATTCTTTCAGGAATTCTACCCAGATTGCCCTGGCTAAAAGGAGAAATCTTGGTCTCTTCTAAATTTTATTAGCATCCGTTGATGTCTGATTTACACTAGCACTGCTCTCTATACTTGCAATCTCATTTAAACCTCTTAGTCTTTTTAAGTCAGCATTATTGGCCCCATTTACAGAAAACTGAAATGAAGCTAATAGTACACTACCTTGAGAAAACAAGGTAACAGTTTCAAATCAGATTAAATTTATTTTGCAAAATGCTGGTCTATAGTATACATTAAAATTATTGGGGAAAAGGCCAAAAAAAATTTTGGGAAGTTTCAATATTTACTTCATCTAAACTAAGGATGTCTTTGGAGAAGAGGAGCTTAGAGCTAGACTACACTTGGAATTCATTTATTGAGTCAGCCTATTACATACTAGACCTTAGGGGAAATATACAGTCAAGTGGTGATTATAATAAATAATCAGTTATCATATTATATGATAAATGATCGAATAACTTAAATCTGTGGAGCATAACTTCATATAACAACTGCCGGTTCTAGATCTCATGTTACAGCTTTCAATTATATATTATGTAATATCTAATTCCCTTGTTAAAAGTATATAAGCTCCTTGAAAATAGAACCCAGTTTTGCTCACCAGTGTCTACCTAGCACTTAGCACAGTGTCTGACACCCATTTCTTGAATAAATGAAGTATAGAGTTCTATAGGAACCTCCTGGAAGGTCATCTAGACTTTGAGATTAGGGTCATCTAGACTTTGAGATTAGGGTCAGCTAGACTTTGAGATTAGGGACATCTTCCAGGGGAGAGGAGGAACAGTATGTCCAAAGGCTGGAGATTAGAAAGATCTTGCCTTATTTAAGAAACGAAAAGTTCCTCAGTGTGGCTGTAGCATACAGAGATGAGAAATGGCCAGATAGGAAGCTGGAGAAATATGGAGAGTCTAGGTCTTAGAAGGGGCTTGTAAAGTTGTCTTGTGGAGTTTGGATTTTTATCTTGGTAATATTGAGGTGTTCTTGAGGTTTTAAGGAGAAAAAAAGACTTGGTCAAATTTGGATTTTAGAAAGATTACTGTAGATGCAGTGGGGAGAATGGGTAAGAAGCAGACAAGACCAAGGCAAAGAGATGAATCAGAAGGTTGTAATAATTCTAGATAGGTAGATGTGATGGTGGCCTGGATTAGGGAAGTAGCAGTGAAGATGGGGAGAAGTGAATGGGTTTGAGAAATGTTTAGCAAATAAAACCAAATGGACTTGGGCACTGGTTATGAACACCAGGGGGGAAAAAGTCAAGGATGATGCCCAAATTTCAGTTTCATTATGGATGTTTGCAGAAATGAGCTAACATAGTAGACCTGAGACCATTATCTTTAGAAAGTCTTGTTTACAATGTTGGCACTTGGCTGGCATCTGGGAACTTCATTGGTAAACAGTTCCCCACACTGATATAAAGCTTTCCGTAAATGATGAGTGGCTCACTCGTCTAAACTGTACAAACAATATGATTTATGACCTTTGCCCTCTTTTTGGGAGTCTAGAATTTTGGTACATGCTAGAGGGTTTCTATTTACCAGCCCCCAATAAAAAAACTTGGACACTGAGTCTCTAATGAGCCTCCCTGGTAGGCCATACTTCACACATGTTACAACTCATTGCTGGAGAAGCTTGCTCCTGGTTTCCTCTGGACTCTGCCACAATGTACCTTTTCCTGTTGCTCCTGTTGCTGTGTATCTTTTCGTTGTAATAGACCTTAACCATGAATACAACTCTATGCTGAGTCTGTGAGTCCTAGAGAATCACTGAACCTGGAGGCAGTCTGGGGACCACAACACAAAATGTCATTCACCAGGAGAGAGAGAGCACAAAGTAGGAACAGATTTTGCTGGGGCAGTGGGGATTGGAAGACAAGAGTTCTGGTTTGGATATATCGCATTTATGTTGTCTGTGAGGTATCTGTGTTGTCTGGCACTCAAGAGCAAATTCTAGGTTGGGGATACAGATTTGAGCATCGTCAGCATTAGGATAGCACTTGATAGCAAAGTAAATAAATTAGATTGCCAAGGGAGGGAGTGTATAAAATCCTGGAAACATGGACATTTAAAAGTCGGGTGAAGGAAGAAGAGTCCAGGAAGTTAAACGAGGACCCAGAAAGATGGGAAGACAACAAGAAATGGATCCCACTACCATTTATCGATGTCTTATTTGGGCCAGTCTCTTTTCCCACTCCCACAGGTATCCTCACAGAAGTCAAGGGAAGTTCGAAGAACAATTTAGTTGACAGTGTGAAAAGATGGCATGAAAGCCAAATAAGATAAAAACTGATAAACTGTTTAATAACAAGGAGGTTGTAGGTGACTTTAGCAAGAGCAATTTTAGTGGAATGGTTGGGGCATAAGATTCATTGCAAGGGATGATAAAAGAATGGATCTTCCTGGTAGGTGAAATGATAGAAGGGACCATGTTTGGTGAAGTGTAGTACAGTTTTATTTTGACTTAATAAACTAGTAAAAAGTAGGAAACTATAACTAGCTAAAGGTAAGAATTTATAGTTTGAAAAGACTATAGAGAGCATCTGGACCAACCACCTCAGTTTACCCATGCAGAAACCAAGGTCCAGACAGAAGAAATGGCCAAAGTCCGGATGGGTAAAGACAGCTGATGCTGTTCAGATCAGAAATACAATTTTGATTTCAAAGACACTTAGCTGCCACTTCCCGTATTGAATGGTTGGAGGTGAGCAATATTTATAATGATTCCAGGTTTGAGATATGTCAAATGAAATATCATTTTCATTTTCTATTAACAGTGCCAGATTGGCCTCACTTTTTGGACTGGATCAGGCAGCTGCTGGCCATGGAAATGAATTCTTCCAGTACACAGCCCCAAAGCAGCCTAAGAAAGGCCAAGGAACAGCAGCAACAGGTAAGTTAAGAGGTTAGGATTGGCCCCTACCAAGTTAGTTGAGAGGATAAATAGCCTTTTCAAAATGACATGCCAGGTTGTCCCTTCTTGATCAGTCTGGCCAAGCTCACCACCAGTGGCGCTTGCCTCTCTAAACTCTGGAATATGAATTCTGGTGGCTAGATAGTGTGCCCTTTGTTGGAAACTGATGGAGGAAGGTCTGCCCTGTGTGGACACCACTCTCAAAAACTCTGCCCAGGGCACTCTAAGTAGGTACTATCCAGTGTTTTGGTGAGAAGGAAGAGCTGCTTTTCATTTCTTTCACCTGGATAGGTTAGAGGTATGGTGACAGTGAATTTTTCCCGATTAGACAGTGATGCTCAGTGCTGTATCCCCTGTGTCTTTCATCATGATGAACACAAGAAAATTGAATGAACATTTGTTGAATGAAAGGAGAGAACGGGGACTACTATTTCTAAAAAGCCTTCCTATGTGTATGATTTCAAATGCTTTACTTAGATTTTCTTATTTTAATTCTCACAACAATTCTGCAAAATAGGTGAGACTACCACCATTTTAGAGGCTTAGAGAGGTTTAGGGACCTGGTCAAGGTCATACAGTAGTAAGTGACAGAGTTGAAATTTGACCCCTGACTTGATTCACTCCAAAGGTTCTCTTCCCTCCCCTATACTTTGCTGTCTTTGCATAAGAACCTGAAGAGGAGTGAGGGACTAATAGAAACAGCCCTGAGCTGCTAGCCCTGAACAGGTGGTGAGAGACATTAAATATTTGTTGAATGAAGTTGAAAGTATTGAGCGCCTTTTACATGCTAGGCAGAATGCTGGCACTCAGGATGTTGTTAGGTTATTTAGAGTTGAATGGTTGCAACAGATACTGTATGGCCCATAAAGTCTAAAATATTTACTGTTTGGTCCTTTACAGAAAATGCTTGCTGACCCCTTCTCTAAATCTTACTTGTCACTTCTGGCAGCTTTGCTGTGGATTGCTGGTCCTGTTCTCCAAGCCATACATAATTTGGCCAGATTTCTAGGAGGCCATGCCTTTATATTTCCTCTGGCATGTCTCTTCATCAGCAGTGTGCTTCTGACTAAATTTAAAGCGGTTGAGTTAATGGATGTGGATAAAAGTAAACAACCTGAGTCCCCATCCAATGAAGTAACTTGATTTTTTTAAATCAGAAAATAACAACTATGAGTTAATTATACTTTTAAAGAGGAATTATAAAGGCATTTCAGCTTAATTACCTATACAATCTTATGTAGGTATTTACAAATAAAAAATAAAGTAGCAGTATAGGAGAACTTTCTATACAAGGGGTATTTATATAAGCAATCTTTGTGGAGGAAGATGGTGCAGCATAGTTCTTGAATCTCTTTAGATTTCAATATAAAAACAGACAGCAACTAGATACAAAGGACAAACCTATGGATAACATTTACAACAAAACTAGTTGAAGAGGTATCCTCATAAATCCCAAATATAAGCAGGTATGGACAAACCACTAACAGCCACAAGCCTTGCATGGTGTCAACATTTGCATGGGAGAAACTGGAAAGTGTCTTGCCCACTCTAGTGGTGGTTGACCATGGGAACTAATAAAGAACTGGAGCACTCTTGCTCTTATGAACTTGTGAAACTTACTGTGGTGACCTTCCAGGACAGATCCCCACACTGAGAAGAACCTGCTAGGACTGGAATTGAGGATAGAGATATTAGTAGTGAAGGAGAGAAGATCCAGGTAAGAATAGGAATAGAAATAGTGTCAAGAAGTATCAGGAGGAAGCCACCCTATTTTTGAACTCTATAGGAAAAGACCAGAAGAGGGAGCTTTATGAAGTTTAAAAAAGTCACCTTGAACCTCTTAAAAAGTTCAGAAAAGCAAATTTCACACAAAAATAAGTAATAAAGTGTCAGAGTCAAACTCCATACAAAGTTATAAGAACAAAGAGAGCAAGGAACAGAATAATATCCCTACAGACAGTGAGAGCTCTCTTTTGTGAGAATGTTTCTTACAGAATAGATCAAAACTACAACCACTTATTAACATTAAGAAAGTAACATAAGACGAGATGAGAACATAAATGCAAATTAGAAAATCTCAGAAGTAAGTCACAGAATGCAGGCAAGACTTAGCGATGTAAGGAAAAATACTTCAGAAATGAACACTAAAAGGAACAGAAGAGTGAATAAACACAACAGCTTATGCCTCAAGAGAAATAGAAGGTTAATAGAAATTGTTTAAAATTGAAAATTAAAAAATTAAGATTTCAAAAGAAAGTGACAAATATTGAAGATAACTAAGAAGATCCAACATATAGAACGTACACATACTTATATACGTTTGTGTGTGTGTGCGTATTCCTGAAGGAGAAAAAAAAGGAAAAAGCACACTGAAAACAAAGAACTTTGCTCAAAAAAAAAAAAAAAAGTTGAAACTACATCCTAGTAAAAAAAAATGTCCTTGTGAATGGGGAATTCAAGAATCTGGACAATATTGATTTCAGAGAGGAAGAACTGCTAAGCCAATGAGAAAATATGACTCAACCCTCTAGCAAGTCCAGGAACAACCTTTCATTTGCAGAGCATTAGACAGGGAGATAAGAGTGTGCTGGGAGAAGTTAAACTAACCTGAAAGAGGATGCTAGGCTAACCTTTGGGAGACAGTAATTGTTTCAGACTTGTCCTGATAACCTAACTCTGGCCTTAGTTTTTTTCCTGTCATACCCTGCTTATTGGGAGAAAAGGTTTTTTGTAGTATTACATACAACTGGAAAGTGCTGACTGAATTAAAAATTAATTGAAGGTTTTTACTAAATAACGAGGAAAACATGAACACCAGACTAGAAAAATAAGCAAACATAAATGGACAATTCATGAGAATAAAACAAATGGCTGGTATAAATCTATAGAAAATGTTAAATTTGTGCTTCCCTATAATCAGTAAATGCAAATGAAAGCAACAATGAGATGGCATGTCCCTTTTCCTACTGCCCCCCTCAAATTGGTAAAGATTTAAAAAGCTAATAATTGGCCGGGATGCAAAGCTGGCGGTCATGCTGGTGGGACTATAAACTGGTATGGCATTTCTCAAGGGCATTTTGTTAGGATGTAACAAAACCTTACAATTTTTTATATTCTTTCACCCCACAGTTCCATTTTTAGAAATTTATTCTGAAAAAGTAATTAGAAGTACACACAAAAATGTATATTTTAAGGATGTTCACCATAGTATTATTTATAATAGAGAAAAATTGGAGACAGCCCAAAGAAATATCAAACAGTAGGAAATGCGATACATTTTGGTAGACTCATAATATGATATTTTATGTAATCACTAAAAAACATTTTTAGGACTATTTTGTCTTTGTTTTGGAGACTATATTGAAGAGTATAAGAAAATGCCCATACTAAATGAGAAAAGAAGGTTGTCAAATCATGTCATTAATTTAGTTTAAAAAAAGATAAAAAAGCTGCAAAGTTTGTGTGTAGAAAAAGGACTAGGAATAAATAAATTATCAACATGAGTTTTTGAATGGTGAGATTATAGGTCATTTTTCTTTTTTTTATGTGTTTCTATATTTACTAAGTTTTCTACAATGTACATGTATGTACTCTACAATCAGAAAAAAATGGGTCAATACTGTTTGCAAATAAAACTAACCGAGTAAATTTTAAAAGATCTTACTGGCTTTATTCAACACTTTATGAATCAGGCAGCATCTAATCTAGCAGATAGAAAGGGCTCTGAGGAGCAGGAACAAAGAAATTATATTAGGCAACAAAGCGGGTTGGTTATTTTAGGGCCACCTTCCTTTAGGGGATAGCAGAGATCTGTCAGGCAAATTACCTAACCCGTGCTAATCAGGCAATTCCTGATTAACTGGTTTAAGATTCCATTTCTGGGAAAGCCAAAACTGTAATTAGGTCTCCATTTGATAATGTGGACCTTAGCATAAGCAACTTTATTTTGGGCTTGTTGTCTTGTTTTTATCAATACAAAATAAAAAATTTTTTAAAATTAAACAAGGATGCTTTTGAAAATAAATTCTTGGTTGTTATGTCAATTCCGATGTTCTCACTATTACTCTGTCAACACATTCATGAGGCGAGTGTAAATATGCGATTTACACTAAACATACTATTTTAAAACAGTAGTGTTATTCTATACCACTGCATAAGTAATGGGTGTGATTTAAATATAAATTTTCTACTCCATAAGTAAGGGAAGTGGAAATAACTTTACTTTTACTTATAGATACCAAAATATTGAAGGGAGAAAAGAAAGTAGATGGAATATGACCTTGCTTTCTAGGTAAGACTTGTTTGGAATGGAGTAGGAGTCCTGGGTTCTAGTCCCGGGCTTGCTACTATCATTATGTAAGGCACCTAGATTCTTAGAGCCTCACTTTCCTCATCCCCAGATGAAGTCATAGGGCTTTTTCATGGATTAAATGAGGATAATGGTCAGGAAAGCATTCTAACACTAACTATAAGGCGTAAAGAAGAATTTTGAAGCTCTTTAATATTAAAAATCAATTTCAAGCAAGAAATGAATGACAACTATGTTTTCATCTTTAGGAAATCAGGCAGCACCAAAAACAGCACCCACTACAACAGGCACTTCCACAGTATTGGTTGCAACAGCAGTCCATGCATATCAATAGTAAGTAGCTGAGAAGGAATGCTTTCTGAAGTTGGGGAGTGGGTTAAGCCCCTGTCTTTTTTCAGTAAGCCTCTGTTCATTGCAAAATAGCTATTAAGCCTTTCCATAGAGAAGTATCAGTAATGTTTTTAAACTTTTCATGGGGAGAATTCTGCTCATAGAACTTAGAAGAGCCATTGTGTTGTTTTCTCTCTCTCAAAAGTGCTTGTACATTCAACAGCTGCCTTTCTAAGTACTCAAAGAAAGCTACTCTACTGAGATAGGAATGGTAGATATTTAAAAAGTAAAGAAATTGTATAAGAGCTTTAAATTATAAACTGCTCACCTCCATTCCTTTCTAGAGGCTAAATGCCTAGAATCCCCACTTCTATGTAGAAGAAAAGAAAGCTGGTTCTTAATTTAAAGAAAGTATTAATACCTCTCTTTTTCTTTTGCTTCTGTAGCACAAACGGTCAATATGTAAAGCAGGGCAAATTTGGTGCTGCAGTCCTGGGGAATCACACAGCCAAAGAGGTGAGATTGCCCCGTCTCGTGTACAGTCAAGCGTCCCAAAGCATACTGATGAGCTGGTTTTTATCTGGGCTTGTCCAATGTCTCTCATGTATCAGAAGATTAGAATGATTGTTTGTATTGAATGTGAATTTTTAATATTAGGTATACAGTAACATTTATAGTCGCATTTTGCTTCCTATTGTGCATTAAAACAAATCCAGTCACTCAAAATCTTTAAGTTTGACTTTTGTGATATGGACCCAGCTTAAGAATTTGGGGAGTTTCAGAGTAAAGCGTTTACCAGGGACATATACCCGTCTGTTAGGTGATGAACAACATTTACTGTACTACTTAGAGCAATATGTCTTTGTGCCTATGTTAAGGACCAGTGTTTATCCTTTGAAAACTTGATGAGATAGACAGCTGATCACATGGTAAAATATTGGTTTGGGTCAAAAAGAAGATGTGGCTAGAAGCCCTGAGACTGATTTCCTCTTGTGGATTGCTCCAGAAGGTTTTGAACATAGTTGAAATTATAAAATTTCAGAGGTCCTGAGAGCATGGAGTCCATGTTTCTCAGAGAGTCTCACACAGAGAGAGATAAGATGACCTGTTTGGATAACTAATATAATAGACAACACTCATTTGTATTAAAAACACACAAACAAAAAACTTAATTATGGAAATTTGGAAACATATAAAAGTGGTAGGACTATAATAATGAACTCCTAGATACCCATTACTAGGCTCTAACAGTTATTAATCTTATTTCACCTTAACCCTAGCCTGTCTTCCTTCTTCCCCTGCTCAGATTCTTTTGAAAAAATCTCCAGCATACAATTTTAGCTGTCAACATTTTCATATGTATCTCTGAAGGATAAGAATTTTTTAAAACATAACCATTATGCCATTATTACACCAAAAAAAAACCCCACAATAATTCTTTGATGTCATTCACTGCCAGCAAGTATTCAAATTTTCCCAATTGTTTCTTCTCTTTTTTTTTTTTAAGTTTGTTTTAATCAGGATCTAATAAGGTTCGTATATTGCAGTTGGCTACTGTGTCCTTTAAATCTTTTATTTTACCATCTCGAGGTAGAGAAAGTCTGGTTGTCTCTGATTTTGTTACGTTAGCAGCTATCGACGATTATTATCTAGACCTATCATTGCGGGTTGCCATTTGGATCATAAAAATCTGGCCTTGGGACTTTACCACTCTTCACAACCAGATAGGTTGTGGCTGGTAACATTCCTACTGTAACAATTATAAAAAAGGAGGTAAATAGCAAAAATTACATTTTAAAATTCATCGAAGGAAATGAATTTTCCTGTGGAAATTATGAGGACTAGATGAACTAAAATTTCAGAGAGGGAGGAGCCAGTGAACTGAATGTTTCCTTCCCTTGTGACTTTTCCTTAACGACTAAGACTAGACTAAGCATCAGGTGTGGCCTGAGCATCTCCTGGGGACAAGAGACATTGGCAAAAACTAGAGGAACTCCAGACTTAAGATTGTTTTTATCCCCTGGGACATTGCTGAGTTCTGGGATGGTGTGGAAGTCCAAGGGCTGTGCCAGAACAGCAGAGGGAAACTTCTGCAGTCTTGTGATACATAGGAGTTAAAGTCCTACTAATAGAGTGAGGAACTGTAACAAGCAACAAACATCAACCTTCCTCTCAACACATGTGCTAAATTTTGAACTTCAAGGAGAAGAGGCTAAAGAACTCAGCTCAGAATCTGATGGGCAGAACTTTCAAGACTGAGAAGTCAGAGACCTTCTAGGTTCTCAATCAAAAGCCTAGAAAGATAATGCTTGAGAATGGAGACAGCCCAGAAGTAGAGTGACTTAATAAATCTATGATCCTTCCCTGACCAGCTCAATCTATAATTGGATTGCATTGAGGTGAACAGCCCCTGACTCTTTCTGGCTAACATAGGATAAGGAAAGATCTTTCTAGTGTAGGATTGTATATGAGCCCCCATAGTCTCTCCCTCCCCTCTGGGGTTGAATTTTAATCATTTGTTTAACAGGTTTTATGTGTATGTTTTTATGTGTATAAACATATATGAAACAGAAAATTTGCCATTTTCACCATTTTAAAGTGTATAATTCAGTGGCATTAATTACATTCACAATATTGAACAACCATCATCACTATCCATTTCCACTTTTTCATCACCCCAAATAGAAAATCTATAACCATTAAGCAACTCCTCATCCCTTTCTCCCTTATCCTCTGGTAACCTGTAACCCACTTCGTGTGTCTGTGAATGCCTGTTCTAGATATTTCACGTAAGTAGAATCATAAAATATTTATCCTTTTGTGTCTGGCTTATTTCATTTAGCAAAACGTTTTCAAGATTCATCCATGTTGTAGCATGTATCAGAATCATCCATGTTGTAGCATGTATCAGAACTTCATTCTTTTTTTATGGTTGAATAATATTTCATTTTATGTATAGAACACATTTTGTTTGTCCATTCATCAGTTGATGGTCACTTGGTCGTTTCTACCTTTTGTCTATTATGAATAATGGTGCAGTGAACATTGGTGTACAAGTATTTGTTTGCATTCCTGTCTTCAGCTTTTTGGGGTATATACTAGGAGTGAAATTGCTGTGTCACATGGTAATTATATTTTTAACTTTTTGAAGAACTGCCAGACTGTTTCCACAGGGGCTCTACTGTTTTATATTTTCACAGCAATATATGAGGGTTCCAGTTTCTCCACTGCCTTGCTAACACTTCATTATTTTTTCACTTTTTTAATAGCTATTTTAGTAGGTGTGAAGTGGTACCTTATTGTCGTTTTAATGTGCATTTCTTTAAATGACTAATGATGAGCCTCTTTTCATGTACCTGTTGGCCATTTATATATCTCTTAGTCACCCCACATACAAATGAAAACACCAACAAAATAAAGATATTGCTAATTACAGTTAGAGAGTAAGGCCAAAATGAAGAGATTAAAATGGATAGTGAGAAGATATTTAAAATCCAAGCTTTAAGGGATGAACTGAGTTTTGAGTTTTATGCCTGTATGAAGCACAACCCTTGACACCTTACTACTATTTTTTTTGTATTGCTTTTTAACTTCTGTTCACTCTCTTTTTTCTGCCCATCTTTGCTTGAGTACAGTATAGGATTCTTCTTTATATCAGTCAACAACAGCCAGTTACTGTTGCCAGAATTCATCTCAACTTCGAGCTAATGGTAAGACTATCCACATTAAAATCATTCACTCCCTTGTGATAGGTTCACAGAAGAGATCGGTCTATGCATACCTGGCAGTAATTAGATACACTGCTTAGCCCTGAACGCCAGAGTGGGTGTCTTAACAGAAGCTTTTAGAAAGTCTCTTGGCTGCCTTCTGGGAATATGGACTCAAGGATGATAGGTGGAAGGTGGCAGGGAGGAAGAAAGTTCCTTGGTACCTCTCTTTGGGTCCACCTGAGTCAAGGCACTTCGGTATGATCCCTGGCAGTCAGATTTATCTGCCGTGCTGCCTGTGGTTGAGTTATTCCAGCATTTCTCTGTTCCCTAGGTTCGGCCCAATAACTATAGCACCTTTTATGATGATCAGAGACAAAACTGGTCCATCATGTTTGAGTCAGAAAAGGCTGCTGTGGAGTTCAATAAACAGGTAATACCATTTTGTTCTTCCTGTGAAAAGCCAAACACTAGTCTGGAGTGCCCTTGATTTTGAGAAAATAGATGGAAAACCCATAACCTGCTATATTTTGTTAGTGGCAAGCATAAAAAACCCACTAAATTTGTCACAAGCTTATCGTATTTCAGGTAAATAATAGGAATACTTATTGAAATTGCTTGAAAATGAGACTTTAAGAAAAAAAAGGCTAAATGGAAACTTAGTTTTTAAAAACCATTCTACTTCATAAATTATCTTAAGGAATGAATAAAACTGTCTTTTAAAAATAGTGTTTTAAAGGAATTTAAAGAAGTTACTACATGATCATTGTAGAAAATTTAGAAAAGTATTTTTTAAAAAAATCAATCATAATCTTACTACCCGAAGAAATCACTGTTAACATGTTGTTTCTTTTTTCCTACACATAATATATATAAGTAGATAGACTCCTTTAAGAGTTCCATATCTTGCTTGTTTTATTTAACAGTATACAATGCATCTTTTCCCTCCTCAGGAAAAATTATTTAAAAACATTTTTGAAAGCTGCATAATACGAATGTTTCTTTATTTAGTCATTTTCTTGCTTTTAGGCATTTAGGTTGTTTTCTGTCTCTGAAATAAATGATACTATAGTGAGCATTTTTGTATATAAGTCTGTCTTTTTTCCTCTCCTCTGCCTCCCTTCACCCCTTGATTATTTCCTTAAGCTAGATTTCTAGAAGTAAAAGATTGGGTCAAAGGGTTCAAATATTTTCAGGTTCTGTATACACTTTGGCACACTGCTTTTTAGAGAGCTTGTACTACACATTCCTATCAGTTCTCTGTACCTTTGGCAACATTTACAATTTTATATTTCTTTTAGTCTTGTTTGCTTGGTAAAATGATACCTTATTGTTTTAGTTAGCATTTATTCGATTACAATAATGAAACTTTTAAAGAAGATGAGTAGCAAGTTTCTAATGTATACTATATTAAAACATTGACTAAAATGCTATGCCACAAAAACAAACTGACTATAGAATTATATTCATAAAGATGTATCTGACTTCTTTGTCTGAGATCTGTGCTGAGATAATATGACTAAATCTATGGGTGGTGGAGATGTGAATTCTGGGAAGGCAACATGTTTTTGTAAAGGGCCTTTTTTTCCCCTGGTTTATTGTCTTTAAAAATGCTTTTTGAAAATTTTGTAGAAGCTCCTTTCCTTTCATAGGTTCTCAAACACTGAAGCAGTAAATCAGCATCATGGTAATGATAACTAACGCTTATTATATACTTACTATTATTTGCCAGGCACTGCGCCAGGTACTCTACTTGTATTAGCTCAATCTTCATAACTACCCTAGGAGATATACAAAGCTTTTATCTCCATTTTACAAAAAATCTCTATGTAATAAGGTTTACAGAGGTTGTTTGGCCAAGGTCACAAGTTAATAAACCCAGGTCTGTACCCAGACAGCCTGACTTCAAAGCAGTACTCTTAGACACTTTTGGTTCCTGGCAAGATTACTGACTTCGGAATGGTTTATTTCTAAACATATAATCTGTTTTGTTAGTGGACACCACTGTTTGGAAAAGAACATTAGCAATAATGGAATGAGTACTTACTGAGCTTAAACTAAGTTCATGCAGCTTCGGTTTTGTCTGGCAGGTGTGCATTGCCAAGTGCAACAGCACCTCTTCCCTGGAGGCAGTGCTCTCACAGGACCTCATAGTAGCAGAGGGCCCTGCTGTAGAACTTGGAGATTCTTTGGAAGTGGCCTATACCAGCTGGCTCTTTCAGAATCATGTGCTGGGCCAGGTAAGAAAGTATGCCCTGAAAGTTCTTTTATAATTTAAATAGCATGAGGTCTATTCACATGTAAGGTGGTATTACTATAAATTGCTCCTGTTGGCAAATAGAAATATTTTAGGAGCCCTGCTTTACTCACTATGACTGCTTTTGGGACATGGTCATGAATTGCTAGTATATTAAATCTGCTCAGTGCCATGATGTCTCTTCTTCTTAGAAAAAATGGAAACCAGTTTCCCAAGAATTATTTTTGGTAATTGTTCACTTGTATGTCTTGTCCTTCTATACCATTTTTAAACTTGAATATATTCTGATGGAATTAGGTTTGAAAACTTTTTAGGTCTTCCTCACAGTTATTTCTTTTCTTCTTATAGTAGATACTGTAAATAGGTTGGGCTTATTGTGTTTTAATATTATTAAGCCTTCAAAAGCAGTATGGTATGATGAAAAAACTTGAGACCGAGTCAGAAAAGTGGATTCAAGTCCCAGTTTTATCCTAACTTCACCTTGTTGAGTCATTTAAGTTCTTAAATGTTTTTCTCCCATTGGTGGATGGAGGTTAGTGGTCAGTGGCAGGATTGGTGTCAGCATTAAATGAGATAATTTATTTGAAAAAATTTTTAATTTTTAAAAATTTTTTAAATTTTTTATTTAGTTATTTAGTTTTGAAAATTTTTTATAGGTGAAAAATTCTTTCTTTTAAATATATGGTGATAGAAGCTATTTTTTTTTCTTGACCTATAAAATCAATGCCTCAGAGATGCTTAGTGTGATAATACCATCCTTTAGCCATGATGCGATTCTATCTTTTACATCTCTTAAGAGCTATTTTTCCTAGTATATTTGATATTTCCTATTCCAGAAATGCTATGTTGGTATATAGTAAGTTGCTTATCATAACTATTATTATATATTTTTACATTTTATTATATATATATTTTTTAATTGGCCAACCTCAGTTATCATTTACTTTGACCAAATTGTAGGTTTTTGACTCCACTGCTAACAAAGATAAGCTGCTTCGCCTGAAATTAGGATCCGGAAAAGTCATCAAGGTAAAGGCTTAACTGTGTTCTTACATGGCTTTATCAGTTGTAGTGGGCTTAATTTACATTAAATTTTGTGAACTTTCTAACCTGGGTATTCTTCTGAGAGTCTGGAAGGCTTGGTTAAAAAGTAAAAGGGGGAAAATGTGTTATGTTATCTGCATTTAGGAGATTTTTACTTATAAGACAGTATACTGTAGTCCTCCCATCCTTGCTTTCCGCGATTTCAGTTACCTGCAGTTAACTGTAGTCTGAAAATATTAAATGGAAAATTTCAGAAATAAACAATTCATAAGTTTTAAGTTGCTTACCATTTTGAGAAATGTGATGAAATTTCTCTCTGTCCTGCCCTGGATGCGAATTACGTTCACCCAGCATATCTACACTGTAAACGCTACCTGCCTGATAGTCACTTAGGGCCATCTCAGTTATCAGATCTGCTGTCAGAGTATCATAGTGCTTGTGTTCAAGTAAACTTTATTTTACTTAATAATGGCCCCAGAGTCATTTACATAACTTCTATTATAGTACATTGCTACAGTTGTTTCATTTTATTATTAGTTATTGTTGGTAATATATTACTGTGTCTGATTTGTAAATTAAACTTTATCATGGGTATGTATATATAGGGTTCGGTACTGTTCGTGATTCGGGCATCTACTGGGGTCTTAGAACATATCTCCCACGGATAAGGGTTGGGGGAACCACAATATTAAAGATGGGTACATTTCTCTATTATTTACTCTTTCATCCTGTGACTCTGAAGAAATTTTTAAATCCTC